TCAAGCCATGTTGTATGTAAAAATGCATCAAATATAAGACATTTGATATACAGCACAGCCCTATGTCATCATAGATTTTTTCCCCTCTCTCTCTCTCTCTCTCTGTCTCTCTCTCATTCTCTCTCTCTCTCTATATATATACACATACACAAAGCATTTTGCAAAGAAAGAAATCTCTTAATACATTGATTTTGTGTTTATGCATTTGTTTATGGTACACACATTTGTTCGCAGCGCTATGTAGCTGTTATTTCACATATGTTTAGCTTTTGAACAACCCCGTTGTAAAATATTTGAAATACTTGTTTTTACATTCACTTTTTCCAACCATCGATTTTTTTTCCCTCTGTGTCCCTTCTGAGGTTCTGTACGTATTTAGTCAATTTGCAATTAGTTTTATTTTTTGGTTCATTTGTGAAACTATTCAGTAGAGGAACAAAACAGCACTGAAAAAACAATATTATACAATGTCTTATTTGGAATATAAGCATTAACCTGAACAATCTAATCTAATAATAGATAGTTTTATTGATCCGTGTGGGGAAGTTCTCTTTTCACTTCCACAATCTTGCCCTCTGTAGGTGAGAGCAAGCTGGCCACAAAGGGCAGCTGCCCATTGTGGTGCCCTGGGAGCTGAGGGTTAAGGGCCTTGTTCAAGGACCCGGAGATATGCCAAGGGCAGGCATGAACCAGTGGCCTTCTGATCACAGTCACAGAGGCTTAGCCCACTGAGGCGCACACTGTCCCTATACATTTGTAATTGGATATTTAGTCAATTTGTATTTTTTCTGAGAAGAGTTTATATATATATATATATAGCATGCATTGTACCCGCTCTGTGATTTTATGTGGCCTACCACTACTCGGCTGAGTTGCTGTTGTTCCCAATTGCTTCCACTTTGTTATAATACCACTAACAGTTGACTGTGGAATATTTAGTAGCAAGGAAATTCCACGAATGTACTTACAGTATTGCACAGGTGGCATCCTATCACAGTAACACTCTTGAATACACTGATCTCCTGAGAGTGACCCATTCTTTCACAAATGTTTGTAGAAGCAGTCTGCATGCCTAGCTGTTTGATTTTTATATACCTGTGGCTATAGACGTGATTGGAACACCTGAATACAATGATTTGGAGGGGTGCCCCACTACTTTTGGCAATGTAGTGTGTGTGTGTGTGTGTGTATACAGATACTCTACTTACGGACAAGTTACATTCCGAACGGCCGTTCGTAACTTGAAATGTTCGTAAGTAATTATTCAATATCATTTTAAGGGTATACGCAAGTACAAAGAACTAAGAAGCTGGGAGTACGCACGCTACGCTGCTGCACGGCAGGAGTAGCGGCCAGAAGTTGTAGGCTAGGTGGAATTGCGGAAACGGAAGTCCAACGAACACAATTTGGACTTACAGTCCTCTTCGTTCGTATGTCTGAAAATTCGTAAGCTGAAAGTTCGTAAAGTTGACGTTTTTATGCTTTTCAGTTGGGAAACACTGGTGTGAATAAACAAAACCATAACTCATTCTGACTTTCTGTCCTGACTTTTAAAAAGTATTTTAGAGAAATTATAATAGTATTGATTCATATTAAATATTGATACAGTGATCTAAAATATTGAGATATTATTCTTCAGCCGTATCACCCAGCCCTACGATGAAGCCTAAAGACCTGACTGCAATCAGAAATTGTCGATACTGACTATCATAGTTTAGTTATATTACTTTAGGTTAAGGCTCCAGAAAAATTGTAAAGAGACCAATATTTATGCAAGCACTTTAGCATTTAATAATAATAATGACACTTTATTGATCCCCGTGGGCAAATTCTCTTTTAACCTACCCCGTCTTGCTCTCCGTGACACACAGACACACATATAGGTGAGAGCCAGCGTGGCAACTAATGGCAGCCACCCGTAGCAGCACCCATGCAGCTGGGGCTTAAGAGTCTTGCTCAAGGACCCACGGACATGAGACTATTCTGCCGAACGCTGCTCCCAATTTCATTAAGCATTTCCAAATTATATAAAGTTAAAACAAAATTTAGGGTTATTTTCTGCATATAAATAATTGTCCACTTATTTTAAGTTATTCTTTTAAACTCCCTGTAGAATATAAAGAAATCAGACTGGCTGAAGGCTGCTCTGGGCAGTTGGAGGTTTTCTACAATGGCACCTGGGGAAATGTGTGCTTCAATCAAATGGACAAAATCACAGCCAGTCTGATATGTCATCATCTTAACTGTGGAAAGAGTGAGGCTGTTTCTAACTCATGGTCTCGGCTGAAAGGAGCTCCGAACTGGCTTGATAACCTGAAATGTCGCCCACATGACTCCACACTGTGGCAGTGCCCGTCCTCTAACTGGGGAAATAATACATGTGAGGAAGGTGAAGTGGCTCAGATCTCCTGTGATGGTAACTTACTGTATTCATTATCATTATTAGGTCACTTTGTGTTTAGATTTATTAGTGTATTAGTTTGCATGATTACAATTATATCACAGACAACAATCTGGATTCATATTAAAAAAATCCTTGATATTGCATAACAATAAGAACGTTAATTTATTTAACGTCTTTCCTTATGGAAGGATGTTCTGCTGCTGCCAAGGACAGACCATGTTCCCTTAAGTTCAGTTATTGTCTGCCCAGTTTTACATGTTTATCAGTCAGTAACATCAGTGAGAAATCAGTCCCAGCTCTTCACTGAACTCTGTCATCCTCACATGTGTCCTCTGCCTTCTGCAGTGCTGATAAATCACAGTCTTTACTTGCCCCCTAGGCCACCCCCCCATGAGACTGCAGGGGGGCAGTAGCAAGTGCTCAGGGAGGGTGGAACTGCAGCATGAGGGCTCCTGGGGGACGGTCTGTGAAGACTCCTGGGACCTGAGAGACGCCCAGGTGGTCTGCAGACAGCTGGGCTGTGGGACAGCACTGGAGGCTCATGGGAACTCTGCCTTTGGACGAGGAACTGGCACCATTTGGCTGAATGAGTTTAACTGCAGGGGTGATGAGCTCCACCTGTTGGACTGTCCTCACTCTCTTCAGGAGCAGTGGAACTGCAGCCACAAGGAGGATGCTGGTGTTACCTGTGCAGGTGGGACTGGAACTGCAGACAGACTGTAACCTCAACATTATGGCTATTTGGCTTTTAGAACAAATAATACTCTAGAAAAAAAAAATTTAACTCACAGAATATTTATCAATAACCTTCAATGCTTCAATTTCACAGATTCATCGCTGCTTAAGGCCACTACAGGTGAAGTTGATGTATTTAATGTATAGTGTTGAGGAGTTCATCAAATATAGGATTAATTCTGTCTATATATCAGTATTTATTTACTCTTTCAGGGATTCCAGCAACATCCCCAAAAACAAAAAAAGGTATAATTTTTATATTCTTGTATATAATACAGTACTTAACTATGTTTTTCCTTTCAGTGCTTTAACTTCTTATTGGGGAGTAATTTAGATATATTTGTGTAACTCTGCTGCCCTGATGATGACAAGTGGTTAGAACATGGATATGTCATATTTTTTAATAAGATAAAGTTTTAATTATTTCAGCAATGTTTAATTTCCAGCAATTTCCAAAATCAGACACCGATTAAAATGTCTTTGCATATTTATTTAATACAATCATTCTGCACTGTCAGACACATTTTATACTGAGTCTCTCTGTTAGTTCCTTCTCCAGTTGTGCCCCTTTCCATTCCTTTTGTGGTCTTCCTGGTACTGGGAGCTCTTCTCTTCCTGCTGCTGGTAATAACAGCTGTCCAGTTGTACCAGAACAGAGTGCTGAAGAGAGGTACAGTAGTATATAGCTGGGGGATTACTTACATTAAGAATGATCTGTCTGAATGATTCATATTAAGTCTGTGTTATCTCCTACATTTTCTCCTACAAATATTCTGCTGTAGATTTATTTGACAATGGTGTATGGTTTTGGTAAAACTACACAAAATGAAACAAAGAGCTACCCAACTGCTCATAAATAAGGAGACACTTACTGTATCAGCTCACCTTGGAGATTCACCTGTCCTGATCTCACAGAGCATCCTCACTACACAGTATTTTCACTCTGTTTCTAATGCTAAAGTTCAAGCTGGGACCTTCACAGCTCACACCTTTTGTGTTGATTGTCATAAACGACACTGGACACTGTTGTTTCCATGATTATTTAATAAGCCATTATAATAGACAGATTTACAGAAATTGGGGCTTTTGATTAGAGTGAGAAATGTAGCCTGGACTGTCAGCTGTGTCTCTGTATGTCCACCTCCACAGCTCTGTACCACGAGGGTCTCACCCCTCTGCACGAGGCCATTTATGAGGAGATAGAGTACAATCTGACCCGGGGGGAGACCTACAGAGCCCCTCGCAAGAGTGAGTTAATTTTCTCGACCTTCAAAGAAACAGAACAATAGACTTTTACAGTCACATGGTCACACATATTTTAAAGTGGAATATTGTGGGAAAGTCATTAGAGGTATATTTTCAATATGATTTTATATGTATCAGCATGTGTGTCTGTGCTCTTCCTGTAAATTTTTCCTCTCTAACCATGTGATTAGACCTCAGAAACCACATGAGGGCCTCATAGCTGCATTGCTGTAAAACCCTGAGGGTGAGAGAGAAACCAGCCAATAGGGAGAAAGAGGATGTGGACAATATGAGTGTCAGTCAGCTTGCCTGAGCATGAGCATTAGCTACTCTAACCCCACACATCCTGTCTTCTCAGTCTGAGAGACATAAGAAGAAAAAACTTCATGCAGAGTCTCCCTGAGCACAGGACTGACTGTCTCTCTCCTCCACAGGAAGTGTCCTCTCTGAGGAGCTGCCCTCTGGGTATGAAGATGTAGAGGACAATGAAGGAGACCCTCTCTCAGGTAGGGGGCTGAGGTCTATGAATTTGGTACAATTAATGTTTAGTAATAGGAACCCTCTTTTAACACTATGAAGGGCATCATTAGTCTTTAACGATTATGTTTTACCTCAGAGAAATCAGAGAGAGAAGTGAAGGACGGTGATGATGATGCTGTCATTACTGAAAAGATTGCTGATAATCTATCAGGTGGGTGTTTACCCTGGTTTACCTCAGTTAATTATTTTATCTCAGTATCAGATTGAATATCTTTATCCTTATAAGAATATATGATGTCCTCCAAGGCTATTATTAATTACACCAGCATAATAATTTGAGTTATGTAAAGTCTACAGTTATGCATGTCTGATACACAGAAGCAGCTTTTCTGTGTCTGATACAGGGGATCTGGTGATAAAAGACACACCAGCAGATTATGATGATGCTGGGTCTATTGGGCAGGACTCAGGACATTTCTTTGGTAAATTATAACACTCACCATGGTTATTTATATGTTCAGTGATCTTTAATTTCCTTATTGAGCTATTTAATTTATAACCATAATTTTTGTTAAACACATTCCACTGTAATATTTGGAGGGGAATCCTTGATTTAAGCCACACACTGTTATTATGTTGTGGACTATTAAAGACTTTTTGAGTAGATTGTTTCAATGAGTCAGTCATTGAACAGTCAACTGGCTCCTGTGTACTGAGGTCTCTCTTTTTCCAGGTTCAGGGTTGATGGTGACAGGAGAGACACCAGAGGACTATGATGATGTTGAGGGTATAGAGCAGAGTCCACATGTTTTACCAGGTCAGTTTCTCTTTATACACATCTAATGGAGCAATGTATCTCTCTCATCATACTGCTCCTCTCAGATGGCTTGATCACCTTTGTGCTTCTCTTTGAATATTCATAATATTTTATTATTTTTTGATTATTCCATTCAGTTGTGACTGACATGGACTGACATTTAAATTACTTTATGTGTGTCTGCCACATCTAAGTAATAAACCTTATTTCTTGTTTCACATACAGCTACTCTTACATCCACTGAGTCCCAGTTACAGTTTGTCAATACCATGTGTCCCTTACCTTGCCCCCTTAGGTGAGAGAGCCTTGACCACACTGCCCCCTGGGGACGGCCCCCCTGAACCCGACCAGACTGACTATGATGATGTGGGGGAGGAGGGACTGATAGTCCTGCATGAGGAAGCTCCTGTCCAAAGGTTCACATAAAAGGGGCAAAACAGCTTAATATTTTATACAGAGACTTTCACTAGTTCAGTTTTTCTAAATTCATCTGTCTTTTTAAAAAGGCCATGTCTTTGTATTGTTATTCATGATAAATGAAATAAACATATATTAAATTCAAATCTTTTGAATTTGAGTACAAGCATACCTAAAATCGAGTAAGACTGACAAGGAGAAGTAGTTGGATCTGTCAATCTGTAGTAATTATTGACTGATTAATATCTTATCCCTGAAAGAATGAGTAAGACAGGGAGGTACAGCATGGACCAGACTCCAGGCACTCAGATGTACACACATTCACTCACTCACACACTAAAAGAATCTTAGAGCTGATTAACTTGAATATTTCAGATAACATTTTTTAAGGTCTCAATGTATTTGTTTACAATAAAGGCAATTTAATAATATGCTCTTTTGTATTAATTTAAACACAATTTATGTCAAAACTTCTGTCCGCCTGTAAAATTTATCTTCAAAATGTTTACTGTCTTCAACAAACCACATAAATATTTATCATTAGCACTTACAACATCATTACGGCAATTAGACATTGTGTATTTGTGCCTCATTTTTAAAGCCTTAAATACCTGTAAATCTTAATAGAAGTAGTTTGGGTTACCTGATTACTGTCCTGTGTTCACTATGCTAGTCAGACATTTTTATTTATTTTAATAGGATGCTCATATATTAATTTAAACAATTTATGTCACAACTTTTGTGTACAAGTTTTGTTTGTGGCATTTTCTGCTTTAATATTTTATAATGAAAGATTTTTATATTCTTTACTTTATACTTTTCATTGTATTTTGAAATTAAACGCTTGAATTACAAATGCTATGTGAAAAATGTTTGCCTCACCCACATCATCCACCCATCTCCATAACTACTTGTCCAGTACAGGGTTGTGGTGCCTGGAGCCTTTCCCAGGAAACACTGGGCACAAGACAAAGGACACCCAGGACAGGGCAGTCAGACCATCACAGGACACACACTCTCACATACAATATACACTGCTCAAAAAAATTAAAGGAACGCTTATTAATCAGAGTACAGCATCAAGTAAAGTAAACTTCTTGGATATTCATCTGGTCAGTTAAGTAGCAGAGGGGGTTGTTAATCAGTTTCAGCTGCTTTGGTGTTAATGAAATTAACAACAGGTGCACTAGAGGGGCAACAATGAGACGACGCCCAAAACAGTAATGGTTTAACAGGTGGGGGCCACTGACATTTTTCCGTCATAATCTCTTCTGACTGTTTTTTCACTAGTATTGGATTTGGCTACGGTCAGTGTCACTACTGGTAGCATCAGGCAATACCTGGATCCTACAGAGGATGCACAAGTAGTCCAACTCCTCCAGGATGGCGCATATTGATGTGTCATTGCCAAAAGTTTTGCTGTGTCTCCCAGCA